CAGCAGCAGCAACCACAACCACAACAACAGCACCAATCACAGAACCAACCATAACAACAACAGCAGAAGACACCGAAATGAAAGGGACATCCTTCTTAAAACCTGCAACACCTACAACACCTGCAAAAAGGTGACCACGGCACCTGAAGATCTCTCATCAAGAGCGACTGTAAGCACCGTTGCTATTCTTTGGGATGTGTATGTCGTTATGATGATGATGATAACGATGATGATGAGTATCACGAATGCATGACGATGATCGTGGGTATACTGAAACGTTCTTTTCTTGTTGGATTGACAGGACACACATCCTTTCTTCCCCCGATGTCAGTTCAGCGCAAACCCTATTGGAACAGTGGTGGGAACAAACCCCTCGGGAGCCAACCTATTGGCCTAAAGCGTCTGTGATGATGACGACCAGTGAAAGCACTCAAGCTGACAGCCCTCCCTTCCATGGATCTGGAAACACCCACCCTGCATGATGCTTCTTGGTCACCAGCATCACCGGAGGATGTCATCTCCTCAGGTATGCCCATGGGTTGCGACGACGACAACGTTGACGACGATCCTTTTGGAGAAGCTCAACTCACTTCCATACAACGTGAATGTAGTGCCTATCGGCACAACAATATGCTGAGATACATAAGCTGTTTTACTGATGAGGAGTCCCAAACATGTTTGGAACCTATTGGGGTTAATATGATGAAGGACCACATCCTATGTTGACCCCATCTTCACTCGAACGAAGAGCTTGAAGATGGAAGATGAAAGGTTTTCATGTTTCACATGCAAAGCACTCCCTCCTCAGGTGTCTTTTCGTATTTCCTATGTATCTGGTTGTTGTTGTTGTTCATTATTAAACAGTGATTGATTGAACTGACTCTTTGTGTCTTGATTGATCTCAACTCATTTCGGGTGCCGACCGAGGGTAGAGGCTGAGTTGAGATGTTGTCTACGTGGTATGTCTGTTTGTCTGTCATGTCTGTGCACATGCTAATTGTAAAAGTAAAGAAAAAAAGAAAGAAAAAATAAAAGAGAAAGGCCATGCTTGAAAAATCAGCTGCCTGGTGTCAGTCATTCCAGTACACAGGACAGAGTCTTATCACATCGTCAGTGACATGCAAGACGTCATGGAGTCCACATATGACGTCACGTGGTGATGATGATAATGATGAAGAGGTCATGACCTCCCCCTCCCCTGTCTGTCATGTCTTTGCACATGTTCGTTGTAAAAGTTAAGAAAAAATAAAGAAAAAAAATAGATAAAAGAGAAAGGGCATGCTTGAAAGATCAGTTGCCTGGTGTCAGTCACCCAGAACACAGGATAGAGTCTTATCACATCGTCAGTGACATTCAATGTGTCATGGAGTCAACATCGTGTTCAGACTGTGGTAAGACATTTTCTAGAAGAGATGTCTTACTTCATCATAAAAAAACACGTCCATGTGTTATCACCAACACCATCACCTTTGAGACCAGAGACATCACCGTCGCCTCCGCCACTGCCGCGGTATATGGGGCAAAGACCGTCTATGAATGTCATGGCACCATCCCGAGATGTCCCCGATAATGAGTGGGTGCCTGAAAAGGCGAGAGAAGAAGTGAGAAAACACACACTCTTTATGGATGACACATGGCGACTCAGTGACATTCTGGAGAGACCTTCTCCTTCTTACACCTTGTGTCATTCTTCTCATCCTGACTATGATTCATTTCAAGAGCGTCTGAGGGCTTTTTAAACGCGGCCTAAACAGATGACCCAGACCCCTTATGACATTGCCATGGCTGTTTTTTTCTTTCAAGGACGAGGTGGCCGTGTTATCTGTTATTGCTGCGGTGTGACACTCTGCCAATGGGAAGCCACAGACAAACCCTGGAAAGAACATCTGAAGCACGCCATAGTCCCCTGCGAATACTTGTGTGTGTATTGTCCTGATGGAGAAGTGAACGAAAAATACAGACGTTTGTTGTCCGAAGAAGCACGGAAGAGAACAGTCGAGTGTCTTGTTCACTCCTTGTGACAAAGGTTTTTGTTCACTACGCTTTTAGGAATGGACAGACGTTCACACCCAAGTGGTCACCCTAGTGTTCACAATAATCACAGGGACCCCCCTAATCCTGTGACTTTGGTTTTGTTGTGTTGGTTTGTGTGAGCGGTTTAAGTTGAACGAACATAAGTGTTGTGTTGTCTTTTTTTTTTAGGATGGAGAAATCAGCATGCTCACCCAAGGTAGACAAAAAAAAACAGGATCGAATTACACACCCAAGAAAAAACAGGATCGAAGTCTGACCAATAAGAAGCCTGGGATGTGGACCAACCAGAGGCTGGCTCGGACGTACTGGGCTCTGATTGGTCGAAACGAGGTTGTGCTTTCTCTCCCATGGTAAAAACCATTTCCTTTGGAAAAGAAACACAAGGGTCGGGTCGTTTTGGAAAACCGATGTGCAGGCCAGGCACCGGAACGGACCAATCGGGACGCTGCGTTGTGAACCAATCAGGAAGCAGGGTGTCAGTCCCTTTCCTATAAAACAAGAGCTAAACCACACACATACTGCATTCTATGAAATCAACCATGTCGTCTCGATACAACTGTATGAATTGCCAGACAGACAGTCACAGTTACCTGTACTGCCCTGAAGTGACATCTACCGAGTGCCACACTCAAGGTCACCGCCACTATGTCTGTCCGAAGGTAAGCAGTCAAGATCAGCAGCAGACTCCCCAGGGGTTATGTTACAACTGTCAAGTCGTGGGTCATTTCGCTGTAGATTGTCCAGAACCCAGTCGAAAGAAGACTCCCCTGGGCCGATGTTACAACTGCCTGGTTGTGGGCCATTTCGCTGCAGATTGCCCAGAATCCAGTCGAAAGAAAACTTCAGTTGACACAAGTAACACAAGTGACACAAGTGCTTCATCTCATAGAAGCCATGCATATCGATGTCCGTGCCCTAAAAGAATGCATCGCACAACTCCAGGTGGGCATCACACTGCATCTAGGGAAAAAAAACCATGACAGAAGCCCCTCAAGAAAGCACCCTTCAACGCGCCCACGACGTCATCAGTCTGAGGAGGAGGAGGTGGAGGATGAAGAAGATAGATCATCTGAGCAAAGTGACTAACGCATGGGACATGCTGCTCCACTGTTTTCAGAGTTTCCAATCGTTTCCAGTTACCAGTTTTTCCAGTGTTCCAGTTTTCCTACAGTTTCCTGCTTTTTCCAGTTTCAAGTTTGTTTTCCAACGGCCCTTTTCAGGGCCACCCATCTCCCCCGAAAGAACGCTTTCATCCATTGCTTTGACTACCCTCTCCACCATCACCACCACCCAACCACCCACCCATCCACAAAACAAAAAACAAACAAAAAACTCCTCCCTCCTCCATCCTCCCACCTTCCCGTCTTCCCATCTTCCCGCCCTCTCTCCTTCGGAAACGAAAATGCCGCCATCTTGGAGGCGCGCGCCACCGGAACGGGACGTGTCGCCATCTTGGATGTGAGCGCACGACAGGTACCGGAAGAGTCGCAATCTTGGATGCGCACGCATAACACATAATGCCCTCTTTGCGCATGCGGGTTGTTCGGGTAGCCAAGTGGTTAAAGCGTTCGCTCGTCACGTCAAAGACCCGGGTTCGATTCTTGACATGGGTACAATGTGTGAAGCCCATTTCTGGTGTCCCCCTGCCGTGATATTGCTGGAACGTTGCTAAAAGCGGCGTAAAACCATACATAATCAGTCACTCTTCGCGCATGCGCAGTCACGTGACAAAACCGAAACCGGAAGTGACGTCATCATAGAAACCGACTAATCAGAAGCCAGGAGCGGTCACAGAAAGGGGTCACCAACTACGTTTACTAGGAACGATTACAACATTTCTAAACCTTTTTTATATACCTAAACGTGTACAGCTTGAATATCGATAAAATATAATGTCCTTATCCATAGCTAATTCTCACCAAGACGGCTACAATAAACTAGTGCTAAGCATAGCGGAGATTTGCCCCCTTTTCTTTGTAGGTGTGCTACCTCTCTGTCGTCTTTTGACATCAAAGAGGGAAATCAGTTTTCGCCGTTTTCGCCAAGTTATTTTATGTATCGAATGTTTAACGTCATGCATAAGCATATAAATCCATTTGATATATATCTATGCCCTCAGAAATTAGCCAAAATTGCCTTCGCTCATGGTTCGCGTAAAGCTGCTCGATAAAAAAATCGTCGCACAGTATTTTATACGACAAAAAGCGTCGAATTTTGCTGCTGACATCGCAGAATCAATTCTTGGACAACTGTAAGCAGTGTCATTTTTCAAAACCAGTGTGATATTTGTAAATTTGCAACATCAGATAGGAAATTTAATATTCTACATGTGTGTGTAATTTTAAAGCCGGAGGTAGATCCAGTGCCGCGTGAGCGCAATTCTCGCGCAACGTTCACTTTTCAGATCTTAGGAAAATGTGCGGCATCCAGCCGGTTAAAGCGCACTTTGCAAATTTTGTCATTATTGTGTAAGTAACATTCCCGTTTTCCGGAATTGCTCGTTTCTCTTTGTAAGTATTTTGACACATGCAGCTATCACCTTCAATCAATAATCGGAAAACCGGGAGACCACCCACCATCACGCGTTAAGCCCAACTCGAGTCACGCCACCTTCCAGCATGATAACAAAGTACAAAATGCAACGTGTATGTGACCTAGTTAATTCTGCACTCGAATAAAGACGACATTTTGTTATCTATATTGCATATCAACCTGCCGCGATGTTTTAAACAATATGACAAGCCCCAGAAAATACTTAAACACGAATACCTCAGATTAAAAATGTAACAGTGGATCCGTTGATGTCAAGTCTTTACTGGTAACAATAGGTTGTTATCTGTTTCAGACACAACAGTGACTTGTTTGAAGAAGTGAGAGAGAACATGTTTGTCCCCCTGTCAAGATGTGAACTGGTCGGCTTTTTACTTATTTAAATGTACAGTCGGTAAATAGTTCTTGAAACTCACCTTTTTATAGCCCTGTTGGGGTTCTAGTTTGGAATAGGTCTCCGACATAGGTCAACATGTCCGCCAACACTAGGGAGTTACACCAGCTTATCATATAGCTGATATCAAGGACATAGTATTAGTATCGCAACTGGTTATGGATAGATTGTTTGATAGGCATTACTTAGAAGTTGACGGATGACAAAGAAGACAAAATTTATGGATAACAACTTCTTTAATACTGTATGGATATTGATAGTTGACAGTAAGGGGGACATCTTTTAAAATTCTAAAGATTTTATATTGTGAACACCGAATCTGGCACTATAATGGAGATAGTATTATTTTGATTATCAACAATGATAAACTATTGTTTGATATTTTTTAAGTGAATATTCACTATATTATGATACGCATTGCCCTGTCCAGAAGTGACAGAATATTTTTGTTGTTGTAATAAATATCAACCAGAAGTGAGTTAATGCCTTTAAAATCTACAATTACTTGAATCTTAATATTTCCTTTTGGCTGATGATAGTAAATCACGTTTCAAACTTGGGAGCAGAATCCAAACACAAAGGGTCAATAATGCTAATTCTAAGAGAGTGTTTACTCTATAATTACCCATATCCCCTTGAGCAAAAGCTTTTAAAATCTAAAATTAATGGATAACCTTAAGTTTTTCTTTTGGCTATTATCGTAAACCACATTTCAAATGCGTGAGCTCGTGCTGCTTATTTTAAGAGATGTTTTACTTTTTTTATTACATATGGCGTTACAGGTTACACTCAACCAAATGTTTTCCCATAGACTTCTATAGTAACGTTATAATTTTGTTCACAAATAACTGAGCATTCAACAGCTATATCCTGTACGTGTGTGCACAGTTTGGCCTTAGAGCAGCAATAAAAAAATTACAAGCTTAGCTAGCTCCTTTTCCAACTACAGGAAGCCGGACAACCCCCCCAAGCAGATACATGTGTTTGAGGTTCTCAGTATGAGTGCTACTCTGCAAAACCGCCAACATCCTGTTTGGATATAATACGTCTTTGCATGCTTCTTTGTGTTGAGTATCCCGCAACTGTGTCTTTCTAAAGTATTCACCGTGTATCGGTCTGATCTGAACAGCCGATCATATCCTCCATGTCTGTCTTTCTGATTGGTGTATAAAACATCCGATACACATCCCCAACATTTATCGTTCTGACTGGTGTCTTAAAAAGCTGAGACACACCCTCCACGTCTATCGTTCTGATTGATGTATAAAACAGCTAATACACATCGTCCAAGTCTATCGTTCTGATTGACGTTCAACCGATACACATCTTCCAGGTCTATCGTTCTAATTGGTGTATAAAACAGCCGATACACACCCACCACGTCCATCGTTCTGATTGATGTATAAAATATTCGACACACATCCTCCCTGTCAATCGTTCTGATTGATATATGAAACAGCCGATACACATCCTCCACGTCTATCGTTCTGATTGGTGTATAAAACAACCAATACACATCCTCCACGTCTATCTTTCTGATTGATGTATAAAACAGCCGATACACATCCTCGACGTCTATCCTTCTGATTGGTGTATAAAACAGCCAATACACATCCTCCATGTCTATCCTTCTGATTGATGTATAAAACATCCGATACACATCCTCCACGTATATCGTCCTGATTGATGTATAAAACATCCGATACACACCCTCCATGTCTATCGTTCTGATTGATGGATAAAACAACCAATACACATCCTCCACGTCTATCGTTCTGATTGATGTATAAAACAACCAATACACATCCTCAAAGTCTATAATTCTGATTGATGTATAAAACACCTGATACACATCTTCAACATCTATCGTTCCGACAGCTGTATAAAACATCAGATACACATCATCTCCGTCTATCGTTCCGATTGGTTTATAAAACATCCGATATACATCTTCAACATCTATCGTTCTGACAGCTGTATAAAACAGCCGATACACATACTCCACGTCTATTGTTCTAAATGACCTATAAAACATCCGATACACATTGTCCACGTCTATCGTTCTGATTGTTAAATGAACAATCCGATATACATCCTTCGCGTCTATCTTTCTGATGATGTATAACACATTCGATACACATCCTCCATGTCTATCGTTCTAATTGATGTATAAAACATCCGATACTTATCCTCCACGATTGATGTTCAACCGACACACATCCTCAATCAGTCAGAAGCCAGTATTTTCACGTAGGGTTTGATACTAAACGTCAACAAAAGAACAACCAGTCTCGGTCATCTGAAACGGATTCCATTGAGTGCAACTGGCAAAATAGCGTTGAAAATGATATGAATGGATCTCTGAAAATCACTGACAGCAGGTGTTCGAGAATAGGGTAAGCATGTCCTGCCTACCGGTAACCTGCCTTTCACACATAATAAATAATAAATGTCATAAATTTGGTGGGGGCGAAAGATCGGTACCTATTTCCAGAGGAATTTCTATTTCTTTACCGACACATCTAACTATATCAATATATCTCATGCAGTGTTTGAACCGTGGATGACGATGCGGGGTTTACGGATGTTTTCAGCATGCTTTTGTGCTGATGACATATAAAGATGTCTTATCTCACTTAATCAAGCTTTGCTGACATCAAATGTGCCGGGATAAGTTCATTTTGTTATTTTATTCTCAAAGCAGTAGTTTTCTCAAAGTTCAGACTCTTTGTAAATTCATCAGTGCCATGTATCGAAACTCGAACAGGCAGTGATTGTTTTCAAATTGAATGTTAAGCTTAACCCTTGTTTCAACAAACAGTTTGTACACAACGAAAACGCTTTTAGTTGTATTTAAAGTGTGCCTTTTAAAGAGATTAACAAACATGATAGTATTGAAAGAACAACATGGGTTTCATGGGCAACCCAAAGTGATGGAGGTGTATCATCTTGTTTGCATATAAGAGAGGCTCAGTGACTGTTTCATGCAAGAATTTATGAATGGTCCCCAAAGAAGTGGACGATTGAGAAACTACAGTTTACCAAAATCCAACTTTGATTCAGAGAAATACCTTTAAAAAATCACAGACAGAAAATTCAAGTAGACTTGGTTCAGATGTTCTAACTATATCATATCAATAGATACTGGAAGGTTGAGGAAGATTGAGAAAGCAGAGCGACTGTGTACACCACCTTCAGTCAAGACATGTTTTAAATATCTTGTATTAGATCTGATAGTATGAGAACCAAAGCATTCCCCTGGATGACCTCAACTTCTACCAGTTGTGAACAGAAATTCATCAAAGCTTTCTAAGATCATCCCCTTAGGACAACGAAACTTTTATTGATGCTACTATGATCAGAAGTATTTATCCAGACAGTGATGAAATATGCCACATAATCTTGAATTAAATAATGTTTGATGGAGTGATTGAGTGAGTTGTGTTTAACGCCGCTTTTAACAGTATTTCAGTTATATCACGGTGTGTCAGCTTGATGTGGGAGGAAAGACCGAAATGATGCAGGTCTCAGACTTTTTCCACTTTGGTGAAACCCACGAGCACGAGTAGGGTGCTGACAAACCTAGAAACATAATTGGGGCGAACCGGGATTTGAAACCACAATCATAGGTTTCTGGCTTATGTTTAATATCATTTGAGTAGAACTATACTCCTCACAAAAGATTAAGCAACAAGTATTATTTTCCGTGGAACATTCTCATCAGAGTTGAATGCCATCCATTGAGAACAAATTCAGGCAGGAGAATTACCTACGAATACTCGACTTAAAGCCTTTTCCATGGAGATTTTCCTGATAACACTGATAACATCGCCTGAACACAACCACCATCAAAACACACTTAAAAAATGCACGACATGCATGTTTTACACACTTCACCCATGCACCCTGATTGCTTAAAAACTGCCAGCAAGGGCAATTTGTCGACATTAACACTTTAGACATGGCTAGGCGTCACTTAACGCCAACTGAGGTTGATCAGATTGTTGGAATGGTACAGGGGGGTCTCACACAAACTGCTGTTGCCAATCATTTTAATGTTCGCCGCAGTGTCATCTCAAGAGCTATAACTCGAAACCATCAAACTGGACTGATGACAGCGACACCACGCACAGGTCGTCCAAGGGTGACAACTCCTCGTGAGGACCGGTATTAAGCCACACTAGCCTGGAGAAACAGGTTTACTACGGCCAGATCTCTCCAGAATGACCTTCAGAGAGTTGAAGGAAACAGAGTCTCAACACAGACAGTAAGAAACAGACTTCACGCTCAGGATCTGAGGTCCAGGCGACCAGTATGACGTATCCCACTGCCTGCACACCATCGGCAACAGAGACTTTCTTGGGCCAATCAACGCCGTAACTGGAGGGTCAATCGCTGGCGTAACGTTCTCTTCACAGACGAGTCAAGATTCTGCCTTGACTTCAACGATGGTAGGGCACGTGTGTGTAGAAACCGTAATCAACGATACGCCAACTGTACAATTACTGAACACGACCAGAATGGAAGTGGAAGTTTGATGATCTGGGCTGGCATCAGGGTTTGACACAGAACTGATCTTGTGGTCATCAGACGTGGTACCATGACTGGAGTACGGTACAGGGACGAGATTGTCACACCTGTGATCATTCCCCTGCCACAACAAGCAGGTCCTAACTTCATCTTTATGGATGATAATGCTCGTCCACATCGAGCAAGAGTTGTCACTGATCTTCTTCAGACCAACAACATCACGCATATGGACTGGCCTGCAAGGGTTCGATGACCGCATGTGTACAACTTGTGAAGAGTATATATATGATACTGAAACTGTGAATTATGCTACGGATAAAACGTTCGTTCGTCAAACGGGTTCGATGACCGCATGTGTACAACTTGTGAAGCCCATTTCTAGTGTCCCTCGCCTTGATCCTGCCGATTATTGCTAAAAGAGGCGTAAAACCATACTCACTCACATTTCGGTTGGCAATCAAGAATCGTATCAAACCCGTAGGGATTCCAGAATAGAATGGGTTTCTGGCAACCTATGCTGGTCAAAGGAGGCGATCGGGTGTTGACCTGGTTGATTACGTGTCATCATACCCC